TTGCATTACTTGATTAAGTATTGGCATTTGTTTCTATGCTCCTTCAAACAGCCCATGGAAAAAGTTAAGAATTAGATTGCAGATTCAAACAAATTTGCAGAGTGAGTAGCAATATATGAAAGACACATCATCCCTACATTTACAAGCTTACTAACACTGCATTGTGAACACCAACACATCCCCCATCTGCAACAAGGAATAGTGCTTGCATGAAGAAAATTGAGAACTATTTCAGGATTTCTCTGGAGTTGTGCCTCTAGTGGGTACCATTTAAAAGATTTCAGTTTGATAGAGTTGGTTGTAGTTGCAAGCATTTTCAGTGAATCAAAAATGAATGAAAGAAATGAGAGAGATATTCTGATAAGCGAAATCAATGGACACCTGATAGGCAATCACAGCGAGTAGTGAAAAAGATTTATCTACATAGTTTTTTCTTACAAGCACAAATAATGGAAAAGTGATAAAAATGATTACAGAAAGGGCTGATTTCCTATTTATCCAGACAAAACTCTTGCTCTGCTTGGGTTATCCTCTCTAGTTTCTCTCTAGATATCAGAATATACAGTGAGAGATGAAAAAATTAAAGAAAAAGTAAATTTAATCTGGCTACAGCTATAAAGCATATGCACTGTATGTTTTGCAAGTGTACATATTTTATCTGAGTTCATTTTTCAGATGCAAGAAGTAACTAAATATGCAAAACATCATAGTCTTTAGAAGGAATATTTTCTGGGGATATTTTTTTTACCTCCATATTTTAGTTAATCATTTCATATGGAAACAGCTTTCCTGTTTCATTTCCATTTCCAATCCTTTTATATCATGTCCTGAAACACCTTTTGTAAAACAGATAATATGAATTATATGTGACTAGGGCTGAGGTACAAACCTCTCTTCTCTGGCATATTAGAAGTATTGATGACAAATCTATTCAAGTAAGTATCACTGTGAAACCACAATGGCACCACCCAGACTAAAGGGGAGTAAACTCTAAGAGATGCTAATGTTTGTGGAAAGAAGGAAAAAGAAGGAGAATTCAAGAATTGTTAATCAATCAACCATACCTTTAAAAAAACATTCAAAAACTGAAGTCATTTCTAAATGATCAGTCATTCCATTACCAAAGTCATACTTTGGTCTCATACCTTATCTCACACTTAAAACAATGCAGGGCTTGAATAAGCTGATCTAAGTTTTAAGATAGCAAAATATAACAGAAATGGACATATTTTATTTGTTTGAAGCTCTGCAACATTCAGTCCCAATTTGACCTTTCTGGTCAATAGTTGTGTCAATCCTTACCAACTAGCCAGAAAGAACTGCCTCAGCCAGTTGTTCCCTTTCATATCAAAATTTAAATCTCTTCACCTTCCCCCACACTCACACAAGAGCTTTGCATTCTTCTTATCCTACCAAAGTGGCATATCCTTTACCTGATGGTTGTACACACAACTATGTGCCATTCCTCTGCTGGCAGAAGAACAGAACCTGAAAAATGGAGTCAGGCACCTTTCACATAGTTCACATCATGATCCGCTTCTGTGCTGACACTCAGCATTTATCATTGAAAGACTCCTATTAGCCCTGTGTTCCTCAACCTCGACAATTTTAAGGCACATGGACTTCAACTCCCAGAATTCCACAGCCAGCATTGCTGGCTGTGGAATTCTGGGAGTTGAAGTCCACGTGCCTTAAAATTGTCAAGGTTGAGAAACACTGCATGATTAGCCCAATATGCTGTGACTGGAACAAGGCACAGTTGGGACTATCTACAATGATACGTGACAAGCACTAACATCTGTTAATCATCAGAGGGCTCAGTTCCTTTCAGGAGCAAATCTAAACCTAGTCCTAGGTCTGCTTACTTAATACATTCCTTAATATATACTCTTAGTGCTTAAGGAGTGCTCGCTGAAATCTGGAAAAATACAAAAGCAAAGTGGAATCTCCTAGAAGAGGACAAACTCAGCTGGCTGGCTATCAAATGGAGTATTTTGCAGCACATCCCATTTTATAAGATTCTTCTAGAGCTATCCTGGGTAAGGCTTTAACAACAAATCTCTTCCCAATGATTTTGTCAGAAGGAATTTATCGTTTACTAAAACTGCAGTTTTCAAGCTACATGATGCTTCTTTTCCTTTGTCTTTCAATTATCAGTATTTCCAAAAGCGTTATTTTTTTCCAGAGCACTTTTTCAGAAAGGAATTTTGTAGAAAGTGGTATCAACATGTTATCACTTTGAATAAGGAATACATAACTATAGCTAATCTGGATAAAGTCCAACGATGGAACTAAAAGTATTTTGATTTAACAGACATTTGGTTTCTTTGTAGAGCTCTAAATCTTTCAGTTCTTCATTCACATAAGCACTCATATAGCATGTCTCAATTAAATGTGGTCCAACATACATATTTAGTTTGGTCAACTTTTACTTAAAATTACATTCTAAATTATCCTTTATTTACTTTGTTTACTTTATGCAGTAATCTACTCTCTCTTATCCCATTTACTGTCTCATTTTAATGAGTATTAACCTTTGTGAAAAATATCCCATTTCTTTTTAGATGCTATTGAATGTAACACAACAAATAGGATCCTCCTATTGAAAAAAATACTGCAGAATCAGACATGGTCCTGTGAAGTTGCCATCTGTTAGAGCTAATTAGGCTTGACCCCTGTTGAATGCAGTTTACTATCACACCCTCTCTTTTACATGAAGTTTGTTTTCTATCTTACCTAAAATAATTATTTTATGAAAAACATATCAAGCAGGATCCTTTTAGCTAGGGCAACAAAAGCTATGATGGGAGACTTAGTCAAAGAATTGTTCATTTTTGAAACAATAAGAGACATCATGTTTTTATATTCAAACTAGTAAAATTGCTCAGCTGTGTTCTTTCAAAATGCTGGATTTTTCCATTACCATTTAGACCACCAGCTTCAAAACTGAATCAAACTAGGACAAAAAAAGAAAGTGAAAAAGATGTGGGTAGTTCATATGAACATTTTGTTCTTGAATCCATCTTAAAAATCACACACACACACACACACACACACAATATTATCACTTTTCTTCTGGTAAAATAAATATTTGTGCCAGAGCAGGTAGCAGTGGCCTGCAGTCACTTGCATGCTGTAATCTGCTGTTGCACAGATATATCAGTGTGCATATTAATCACTGACAATCATTATTAGAAAAGGCACAATTGTATCCCTTATATGGCACATGCATGCAAACAGCAAATTTGGCAAAGGACAGGCCATCCTAAGACTGAGGAAGAGAGAGATATGATTTTCTGTAAGATTTTATGTACACTAGGAATTTACTGAACTTATTTCTCAGCATGCTTGCATTGGTTTAACCCTGTGATGTAATTATGACATCAATCTTCATCTCTCACAAAATAGAAATGAGTGCTAGGACAAAACATCACATTATTAAAAAGCACTCCTGATTTTTGCAAACAATTCTCCCTAAGACAAATGCTACTATGCCACTTACTGAGTGTCATTCAAGTTGTCATTTTTTTTTTCTTATTGGTGAAATCATGTGCATTTATGAATGAGTGTAAGTTGGCACCTATGTCTTCCCAATATTACATCTGTCTCAAAGCTTGGGGCTTAGTTGGTTGCAATGTCCAATGCTTGTCTAACAACTTGGGAGCTTTCAAATTATGTAGCCTCAAAATAAAGATATGATTGTATGATTTACCTTTGAGGAGGGAAAAGAGGACCAGTAATGATGGCAACTTTTTTTAGCCCAACATCCTGTTAATATTTATCTAGAGACATTTCAAGATAGACTGTTAACTTGCAGGTTCAGGAAGTTCATGCAAGAAAGTGGCTTCACACATTTTCTGAATATTTCCAAATTTCAGTAAGGAAACAAGTAATGCCAGCACCTTTTATCATCACTATATGAGTTTGTACATAAGGGGATAAGACGTCTTCTTTTGTTGATGATTTTGGTAAGAATCGTCTAATCGTGATGTTAATTTTGTGCTTGGGTTAATCGTGATCATTTTCTCCTCTATTTTTCCAACTTTGTATTAAAGTAAAACAATTATCCCTAAATGGGCAATCTTTAGCCATACTTTGCTTGGTTCTTTGTTCTCTGCTGCTTGACATTTCAGTTCCATAAATATTGTGTGGAAATTTCAGCTTATATTATGTTTACTTAGGAACAGAGTAGAAGAGTTATCTCCCAGTTTAATAAAGAGCCAAATATTGCTAAGAAGAACATAAGATTTTTCCTGAACGAGACTGATCATTTGTCTTATTCAGATATATGTCTACAAACGTGGCCAGCTATAGGAGATGCCTCTGGAAACTGCTCAAGTGAAAACAAAGCCAAGAATGCTCTTATTTGTTCCCCGGAATTAGCATTTAAGGAAAAACTGCATCTAAATAGAAACTGTTGTTATCTATCACAGTTGATGGACAGGGTTTTTTATGAATTCCTAAAACCTCCCTTGTTAACATTACTTAGGTTAATTCTAAGCATACTTCTGTGTATTCAAAGAACTCATTTGCTTCCAGCTGAAGTCGTTAGAGAAAATCAATAGATGCACTCCCGGAAGAGCATGGATCTCCTTATTTACTTGTGGGTGAGGTTACATAAGATGAGATAAATACTCCTGAAGGGCCAGTCCAATCAACCCAGCAGACACGGATTCATTTTCAGCCTTCTCAAGTCTGAGAGTGTGAAAAAAAGAAGAAGCTTCAACAACAAGGCTTGTTGCTGGAACATTTTTCATTCTGTTAGTCGGTTATTCATTCATTTAAATGTATTGGCGTCCCAACTATAGCGGACTCTGTTAAAAGTGGGCGCCTCGCTAAGGGCGTGGAAGGCAGCCAAGAGATCGCCTGTGGGCAGGAAAGCTTGCAGCGCTCCCCCCCCCCCCGGCGCTTGGCGTTTGTTTTCTCCCCCACCGATCCGCTGCCTTCCGCCACCCGCCTCCCGTCTCTGGAGGACTTTCCTCGGTCGCTCCTGGACTCACCTGTCGGCGCTGAGAGCGGTGAGAGTGAAGACGGAAACACCCACCGAGGTAAGCTGAATGGCCGGCAGCAGCTTGCAGCCCACCTCGCCGAAGAGCCAATCCTCGAGGAAGAAGCGGGAGGCGTCGACCGGGACGCAGGTGAGCAGCAGCAACAGGTCGCCGGCGGCCAGGCTGGAGATGAAGATGTTGGGCACGCTCCGGGCGGCGCTCCGGGCGGCGAAGATCTTCAGCAAAGTGAAGTTGCCCAGCAAGCCCACGGCCACGATTAGCAGGTAGAGCGAGGGGATCACGCAGCGGATGGCGAAGGCCGCCCCACCCTGCGGGGATGATGTTCCCGGAGCAGTCGCCTCGCTGTCGTTGCCCGCCGCCGTCCCGTGGAGCCACGTGGACTCTGTTGACCTCGGTGGCATCGCTCCTTGGCAGCGGGGACTCTCTCGACGGCCTTCTGCCGAGTTTTCGGTCTAGGAGCCCCCAAATCAAGCTCTCTCTTCCCAAAGACCTCAAGAAGGAAACAAAGTCTCATCAGAGTCAAATGTCCTCTTTGCTTCCGAAGAAATGGGGTGAAGGAAGAAGAGGCGAGACGCTGGCTCGTCCGCTGCTTGAAAGATTCTTGGGAAAGCTTTGGGGGGGGGGTGTCGGTCCGCCGGGCTGTTCTGAGAAGCTAGCGTTGGGGTGTGAGAAATCGCCTGGCTGCAGCCTCGTCTCCTCGTCTTCCTCTGTCTGGAACGCGACTCTCTCCAGCCGAGTTCGCTTTGCCCTTCTTGGGGGGGACGGCTTTCCTTTAAAGGCGAGCGGGTCCGCCTCCACAAGGAGGAACAGCAGGAAGTTGAAGGCCCCTGAGTTGAGGTAGGATGAGGAAAAAGGGTTTTCCCCGCATCAAGATCCAAGAGAACGTCTATATATGCTCTTTGGTTTTGAGGGGTCACGAGTCCCTTTCAAAGTCCTTCCTACGAACTGTAAGGACTGACCTCTGTGTTATAGTTACTCTTGAGTATCAACAAGGCGGCAGCGCAAGTAGCAGCTGATCTAAAGCTAGGTGTCTTTATTTTTTCAAGGCAATACAGACTCTTCACAATATATCATCGAGTCAGTTACAACCCTGATGGATACATCCACATAAATAAGCCTGAGTAGGATTAAACATGATTAGGGTTTTAATTGTGGCTTATGGGAACCCAGCCTAACAAATGGTTTATGGTTCGATGTCTAAACGGGAAAATGAAGATAAATTGGAACTGTCTGATGCTTTGGTACCGAAAAGCTCGCTGAAACTATGTAATCTCTTGTTTGTTTAGCTTCGGGGTAGAGCTCACAGTAATTATGCTTTTTTGGGAATTACTACCCATTGAAATAAATTACATTTGCAGCCCAATCTGCATCAAGTGAGCAGAAAATGCTGTTATCTTGTAGTTTTTGATCTTCAGGATCTTGGAGATGATATTAAATTTTTTAAATATGAATACAGCTATGAAATAAATAATTTAAAGCAGGAATATGCAAATATATGTATCTCTTTCTGCTCAAAATATTTGTATATATTTGAGCATTTAAATGTGCAAGAAAGAGACAGAGTATTACATCTAATGTAATGAAAGATATTCATTATTGATTCCCTCTGATTTAGTCTATAGGGTTTTTTTTTTCAAAATAGCATAACCCATCTCTGTCTTTCTGTGGTTCCCTAGTGAAAGCTCAGCACCCTTTAGTTGTCAGAGAACTAAACGACAGCAGGAGATTTACTGTCCCTGGTGTCAATCCCTATCCTGCATCTACTGCTTCTATTTCAAATAACATCAGTCATTTGATTTCCCTCCAGTGATGTCAGTGAATAAAAAACCTGCCGTTGTATGGTGTTATAATAAAGGACAAATATATCTTTAATAGTAGTACAGTTAATGATAACTAAAAACCCGTCTCATTCAACTTCAGAAGGAGACACAACGGCAAGGTGACGGAAAAGAAAAGAACAAAAAAATGATATTACAAGGATGTATTTGAGCTAGGGTTAGTTGCAACTACAAAAAGGGGTTTTTTTTCCTTTTCTCTCTCTCTCTCTCTCTCTCCCTCTCCCTCTCTCTCTCTCTCTCTCTCTCCCCCTCCCTCCCCCCCCCCTCTCTCTCTCTCTCTCCCGAAAGAGAAAAAGAAAAGAAGAAGATATACTGCATCTTAGAAGTTAATAGGCAAACCTCAGCATATTTACTTTCACTGGGCATAATTTTCAGTTATTTGTATCTACGTCTATCTATGTATCCTAGTAAAATACATTGAAAAATTCCTTAAGAGGAAAATTCCACTTAGGGTTAGAACAAGGTCACCATGAACTTGGACAGCAAAATGGACATCGCCAACAAATTCAGAGTGCTTGGGTATCATTAGAAGGCTACTGACTTTTCCACTTAGGGTTAAACTTAGGTCACTAGAAACTCAGAGAACAAAATGGACCTAACTCTAAGTGGAATTTTTATCCTATGAACTTTTCCCATATATTTCACCAAGAAAAATAGATAGGGCAGGATACAAAAGTCACTACCATTCTAACAATACCCAATCACACCGAATTTCTTGGCAATGTACATTTGGCTTTCCAAGTTAATGGTGATCTAACCTTAAGCCTAAGTCGAATTGTCCTCCAATGGGATTTTCCCATGTATTTCACTAGGAAAAATAGATAGAGAAGCCTAGAAAAGTCAGTGCCCTCCTAATCATACCCAAGCACTCTGAATTGGGTGATAATGCACATTTTACTCTCCAAGTTCATGCTGACCTAACTCTAAACCTAAGTGGAATTTTGCTCCTTTCGGATATTCCCATATATTTTATCTGGAAACATACATAGGGGAGGATACAAAAGTCATATCCATATCCTATCCATATCCAATCACTCCAAAATTTTTGGTGATGTCCATTTTATTCTCCGAATTCATGGTGACCTAACCCTAACCATAAGTGGAATTTTCCTCCAATGGGATTTTCCCATAAATTTTACCAAGAAACATAGATAGGGCAGCCTAGAAAACACAGTGCCCTATTAACCATACCATATCTGAATTTGTTGACGATGTCCATTTTGTTCTCCAAGTTCATGGTGATCTAATCATAACACTAAGTGGAATTTTATGCCAATGAGATTTTAACAGGAAACATAGATAAGGCAGCCTAGAAAACTCAGTACCCTACTAATCAAAGAATTTCTAGCCGGCCTTATATATTTTTCCTGGTAAAATACATGGAAAAATACAATAGGAGGAAAATTCCACTTAGGGTTAGGATTAGGTCACCATGAACTTGTAGAGCAAAATGGGCATCACCAATTAATTCAGAGTGCTTAGGTATGGTTAGGAGGGCACTGACGTTTCTACCATGTACTTTACTAGCAAATCTTTGTTTGCTGGTAAAGTACAGGAGAAAATCCAATTGGAGAAAAATTCCACGTAGAGTTAGATCAACATTAACCAGAAGAGCAAAATGGACATCGTCAACAAATCCGGAATTCTTGGGTATGGTTAGGAGGCCGATGAACTTTCTAGGGTGCCTTACTTTTCCTGGTAAAACACATAGGAAAATCTTTTTGGATGAAAATTCCACTTAAGGTTAGGGTTAGGTCATCATGAACTCGTAGAGCAAAATGGAAATTGCCAACAAACTCAGAGTACTTGGGTATAGTTAGAAGGACACTGACTTTACTACCCTGCCCTATCTATGTTTCCGGTAAAATACATGGCAAAATCCAATTGGAGGAAAATTCCACTTAGGGTTAGGGTTAGGTCACCATGAACTCGGAAAGAAAAATGGACATTACCAGCAAATTAAGAGTATGCTTAGGAGGGCACTGAGTTTTCAAGGCTGTACTATCTATGTTTCCTGGGAAAATACATGGGAAAAACTCATTGGAGGAAAATTCCACTTAGGGTTAGGGTTAGGTCACCATGAACTTGTAGACCAAAATAGGACATCGCCAGCAAATTCGGACAGCTTGGGTATGGTTAGTAGGACACTGAATTTTCTAGTCTGCACAATCTATGGTTCCTGGTAAAATACATGGGAAAATCCAATTGGAGGAAAATTCCACTTAGGGTTAGGGTTAGGTCACCATGAATCATAGAGAAAAATGGACATCGCCAGCAAATTAAGAGTAATTGGGTATGGTTAGGAGGGCACTGACTTTTCTACCCTGTACTTTAGAGCAAATCTTTGATTGCTGGTAAAATACAGAGGAAAATCCAATTGGAGGAAAATTCAACTTATGGTTAAATCAACATTAACCAGAAGAGCAAAATGGATATGGCCAACAAATTCGGAATTCTTGGGTATGGTTAGGAGGGCGATGAGCTTTCTAGGGTGCCTTACTTTTCCTGGTAAAACACATGGGAAAATCTTTTTGGAGGAAAATTCCACTTAGGGTTAGGGTTAGGTAATCATGAACTCGTAGAGCAAAATGGAAATCGCCAGCAAATTCAGAGTACTTGGGTATAGTTAGAAGGACACTGATTTTACTAGCCTGCCCTATCTATGTTTCCAAATAAAATACATGGCAAAATAGAATTGGAGGAAAATTCCACTTAGGGTTACGGTTAGGTCACCATGAACTCATAGAGAAAAATGGACATCTCCAGCAAATTAAGAGTAATTGGGTATGGTTAGGAGGGCACTGAGTTTTCAAGGCTGACCTATCTATGTTTCCTGGGAAAATCTCATTGGAGGAAAATTCCACTTAGGGTTAGGGTTAGGTCACCATGAACTCATAGAGTAAAATGGACATTGCCAGCAAATTCGGACAGCTTGGGTATGGTTAGTACGACACTGAATTTTCTAGTCTGCACAATCTATGGTTCCTGGTAAAATACATGGGAAAATCCAATTGGAGGAAAATTCCACATAGGGTTAGGGTTAGGTCACCATGAACTCATAGAGTAAAATGGACATTGCCAGCAAATTCGGACAGCTTGGGTATGGTTAGTACGACACTGAATTTTCTAGTCTGCACAATCTATGGTTCCTGGTAAAATACATGGGAAAATCCAATTGGAGGAAAATTCCACATAGGTTTAGGGTTATGTCACCATGAACCTGTAGAGCAAAATGGACATCGACAGCTAATTCGGAGTACTTGGGTATGGTTAGGAGGACACTGAATTTTATACCCATTTTTTTCCTCCAGTTGGATTTTCCCATATATTTTATCAGGAAACATAGATAGGGAAGACTAGTAAAGTCAGTGTCATCCTAACCATACCCTAGAACTCCAAATTTATTGGCAATGTCCATTTTGTTGTACGGGTTCACGATGACCTAACCCTACCCTAAGTGCTATTTTCCTCCAATGAGATTTTCCCATGTATTTTCCCAGGAAACAGAGATAGGCCAGCCTTGAAAACTCAGTGCCCTCCTAACCATACCCAAGTACTCTGAATTTTCTGGCGATGTCCATTTTGCTCTACGAGTTGATGGTGACCTAACCCTAACCCTAAGTGGAATTTTACTCAGATGGGATTTTCCCAGGTATTTTAACAGGAAAAATAGGACACCCTAGAAAACTCATCGCTCTCCTAACCATACCCACTGACTTTTCTACCCTGCCCTATCTATG